ATTATTATTATTATTATTATTATTATTATTATTATTATTATTATTATTATTATTATTATTATTATTATTATTATTCATTAAATTATTATTTAATTATTAAAACTAAAAAAGGGCCTAAATGGGATGACATAGAGTTGGGGCTGGGGGGGCAGGGCCACCCACAATTTACGGTACCAGTTCAGCGGAACCAGTCCAAATTGGTAGAATACCACCTCTGACTGGTAGTCCTTGACTTATTTAACAACTGTTTGAAATTACAATGGCACTGAAAAGATAGTGACTAACAACCAGTCCTTACACTTAGAACTGTCATAGCATCCTATGTGATCAAATTTTGGGTGCTTAGCAATTAGCATGTATTTACAATGGTTGTGATCAACATTTACAACTTTCCCAGCTGGGTTCTGGCAAGCAAAATCAATGGGGGGGGGAGTCGGCTTTGCTTAATGGCCACACGAATCATTAACAGCTGCAGTGATTTGCTTAAAAACCATTGGCAAAAAAGATTGCAAAATCAGGTGCGGCTCACTTAACAACTGCCTTGCCTAACAATGGAAATTATGGTCTTAATTGTGGTCGTACATCAAGGAGTACCTGTAGATAATTTGGCATGAAACAGGTACTTTCAGATTATATAGTTTGTACTTTCAGTCTATATAGTTTGATTTCTGAAACAGAGAAATGAGAAATGTCAGGTGGTTATTCAGTTGAAGGGCAAAATAAGATCGAAGACGATGGGGATGTCAAGTAAATGTGAGAAGTGAGAATTCTATTGAGGATTGTGTTGTCATCTGCCTGTAATTACTACTATTGCGGGAAAAGCCAAGACAAAGAACAAATGAGTACAGGAATTTCCAAGCTGTCACAACAGCAAATACTATGATTTTAAAGGAAGTTTGACAAAATCCAACATCAGATTTCTTCCTTAAGATGCAGAACTTTGACAGAGCTATGCGCATCCTTTAGACATTTAGAAGGAACCAGAGTCACATTCCAAAAAGTGCTCCTGCCAGCAGAATCCACATTTGAATTTAATTGAGATCAGATTGATTAAATGCTGGTCTCCATGGATTGAACAGTGTTCCTCCTTTGTAACATCAAAAATATATAATTCAGCTACCAGTTTTAACAGTGCTCTGGGCAACTTTCCACTAACTGGATTAACTTTCCGCCTAGGACAAATGAGAAACTGTCATACTGCAATATTCCTAAAGCTTAAAAAACTTTGAATATATTTGGATTTCATTTGCTACTTATCATTAGGGAGATGTGGATGTTCCACTTTGTAAAGAAAATGCAGCAACATAATTAAATTCTTAAATCATATCACATTGAGTTTTGTGCCACCCTGAAGTCTAGCCAGGAATTACTGAGGCAGTGGTGCTATGTCCAACCTTAATTGCTTTAGGAAAAGTCATCTTGATTTAAGCGTGTTGAAATCCACACATTGGACATGAACTAATTTTAACAAAGATCAAATTATTGACTTCTTAAGGAAGAAATATAAAGTTGAGAAAGTAAGGGGAATTATATCAGCAGTGTAATTCGATAAGTGATTATGTACAACTCCAATTATGTTGATCACCTCACTATTTATTAGGTTGTGCATAATTTAGCATA